GACAAAGAGACGGAAGAGAAAAAAAAAAAAAAAGAGCGACGGGGGGGGGACGGGGATGTTAAAATGAGAAAAAAATCATATAATGAAATCCGCGTTGTGCCAAATTCGTGGTGAATACGAATTATGTGTACATATATCACATTATTAGAAATATCAATGTACATATATATTATAATATATATATATATACATATATATATATATATTATATATATATATATATATATATATTATATATATATATATATATATATATATATATATATATAATACATATACACATACATATACATATACATATGCATATATACAGAGGGAGAGACAGAGAAAGACAGACAGACAAACAAATTAATAGGCAGGCAGACGGACAAAAGAGAGAAATAATATACTATATTATATAATATATATATATATACTACTATATATATATATTATATATATATATATATGTGTTGTGTGTGTGTGTGTGTGTGTGTGTGTGTGTGTGTGTGTGTGTGTGTGTGTGTGTGTGTGTGTGTGTGTGTGTGTGTGTGTGTGTGTGTGTGTGCATATATACATGTATAATATGTACTAATATATATAAATATATATATTATATATATTTACTATATATATATACTATATACATATCCATATAAACTACTATATATATTCATATATAAATATGATATCGTGCANCAAGTCAATGTCAATAAAGAAAGATGCTGGTTATGATCAGTATCAGGTAGTGTTCAGTGTCAATGTATGTCAATAACAGAAAGAGCTGTTATGTCAGTATCAGTAGTGTCAATGTCAATGTCATGTCAATAACAGAAAGATGCTGTTATGATCAGTATCAGGTAGTGTCAATGTCAATGTCAATAACAGAAGCATGCTGTTAAGATCAGTATCAGGTAGTGTCAGTGTCATGTCAATGTCAATAACAGAAAGATGCTGTTATGATCAGTATCAGTTAGTGTCATGTCAAGTCAGTGTCAATAACAGAAAGATGCTGTTATGATCAGTATCAGGTAGTGTCAATGTCAATGTCAATGTCAATAACAGAAAGATGCTGTTATGATCAGTATCAGGTAGTCAATGTCAATGTCAATGTCAGTGTCAGTGTCATAACAGAAAGATGCTGTTATGATCAGTATCAGTAGTGTCAATGTCAATGTCAATGTCAATAACAGAAAAGATGCTGTTATGATCAGTATCAGGTAGTGTCAATGTCCAATGTCAATAACAGAAAGATGCTGTTATGCATCAGTAATCAGGTAGTGTCATGTCAATGTCAATAACAGAAAGATGCTGTTATGATCAGTAATCAGGTAGTGTCAGTGTCAATGTCAATGTCAATAACCAGAAAGATGCTGTTATGATCAGGTAGTGTCAATGGTCAGTCAAATAACAGAAAGATGCTGTTATGACAGTATCAGGTAGTGTCAATGTCAATGCAATGTCAATAACAGAAAGATGCTGTTATGTCAGTATCAGGTAGTGTCAATGTCATGTCAATGTCAATAACAGAAAGATGCTGTATGATCAGTATCAGGTAGTGTCAATGTCAATGTCAGTGTAATACAGAAAGATGCTGTTATGATCAGTATCAGGTAGTGTCAATGTCAATGTCAATGTCAAACAGAAAGATGCTGTTATGATCAGTATCAGGTGTGTCAATGTCAATGTCAATATGCTGTTATGATCAGTATCAGGTAGTGTCAATGTCAATGTCAATAACAGAAGATGCTGTTTATGATCAGTATCAGGTAGTGTCAATGTCAATGTCAATGTCAATAACAGGAAGATGCTGTTATGATCAGTATCAGGTAGTGTCAATGTCAATGTCAATGTCAATGTCAATAACAGAAAGATGCTGTTATGATCAGTATCAGGTAGTGTCAATGTCAATGTCAATGTCAATAACAGAAAGATGCTGTTATGATCAGTATTCAGGTAGTGTCAATGTCAATGTCAATGTCAATACAGAAAAGATGCTGTTATGATCAGTATCAGTTAGTGTCAATGCAATGTCAATGTCAAATGTCAATAACAGAAAGATGCTGTATATGATCAGTCAGGTAGGTCAATGTCAATGTCAATATAACAGAAAGGATGCTGTTATGATCAGTATCAGGTAGTGTCAATGTCAATGTCAATGTCAATAACAGAAAGATGCTGTTATGATCAGTATCAGGTAGTGCCAATGTCAACGTCAATGTCTAATGTCAATAACAGAAAGATGCTGTTATGATCAGTATCAGGTAGTGTCAATGTCAATGTCAATGTCAATAACAGGAAGATGCTGTTATGATCAGTATCAGGTAGTGTCAATGTCAATGTCAATGTCAATAACAGAAAGATGCTGTTATGATCAGTATCAGGTAGTGTCAATGTCAATGTCAATGTCAATGTCAATAACAGAAAGGTGCTGTTATGATCAGTATCAGGTAGTGTCAATGTCAGTGTCAATAACAGAAAGATTGCTGTTATGATCAGTATCAGTAGTGCCAATGTCAAT